GTGGGCGCGACAGCATGAGGATGCTGTGATGGCTTCAAATTTGGGGTCCTGGTTGGAGGGCGGCGCGTGCCGAGGTGCTCCGGCCATTTCGCTTTCATGTTGTCTCTCGGCCCAGGTTGGAATAGCATCTTTCTGCATTCGCGAGCGGGTTTCTTGGGGAATTTGTCGCGGATGTTTTCAGTTCCTTCAGTTTTGCATTCGTCTTCATGTCCCCAAATGCCCTTCCCGAGTTAGCCGCTCATCCCCGTGGTCGCGGTAAGCTATCAGCTGTGCGCATTTCCGTGACCAGCGCATGCGCCAGCGTGGGCCACCAAGTGCATGTGCGACTTTGCTTGCGCGTTGCGTGTCCCAGCAGGTGCCGCCATTGCGGTTTCGGAACTTGGAGTTCATGGCGCTCGGCCGAATGGCACGTCCACTTCGGGTTCCAGCGCGTGCCTGCATTCAGGCTGCGGGTTTGCCTGTCATGGTGTTCCGTTGTCGATGGCGCCTTTGACCGCCAATATGCTGTTTCGTTGCTTCCTTCTTACCACCTGACCTTGCACTTCCCTTGTTTTATGCTCATCTCTCCCTCTCTCCCTTTCCGTCGTTGTGTTGGTTTCGCTCAGTTCTTCTGCTTCCCGATTGCAAGTCGTTGTGCTGCTTCCAACCCCCGCCCTTCTGGTCGCCCAGGCGCGATGCCGCCGGTGGCTTTTGGGTCAGCCCATCCCGTTGGGCGCGCAGGGGATCACATGCATGGCGCAGCGCAGGCTGCGACACGGCAGTTTGGAGAAGCGGCTCAACCGGACCTCCATCAGCAGGCTCTTGCCACGTCTTCATCTGGCGAGGACACCTCCGTTGCTTTCCTGGCCGAGTTGCTCCGGACCGCGCGCGAGGCTGGCTCCCTGTGGGGCTCGGTGGCATCCGCGGCGTCAGCTATCCACCTTGCGGCACCAGACGTCGTGCACTCGAGGGGGGCTCTCACGGCGAACGGCCAGCTCACCTGGGTGGCGGATTATGGAGTGCCTGTTCAGGTCCCTGCTTTCATCCAGCGGGGACATCGAGCCAAGGGAGACGGAGGATTATTTTAGGAACATCTGCTTTAATCAATTTCGTTTTCAGGGCCCCTCTGGGAATGTTCGGAGCATCCAGGGGGGCATTTTGAGTATCCTTGCCGGGGCATTTTCTATGTCGCGTTCGCTTTGTCCTCTCCCCTCGAAAACACGGTGGGATCGCAGGGGCATCCTTTTGTTTGCCTCGATGTTGTTTGGCTTCCAGGCTTAGGGATTGTGCCTCGTTGGCTTCATGGGGCCTGCTAGAGGCAGCTCCCATTTTGGATTTGCAGGAAATTCGCGCCCCACTGATGGGTCTCTTTCTGATTGGGCCACTCCGAGGTGCCCCAGTCGCTGTTTCCCCGACCTTTGTCATTGGAACCGTCCGGGCACGACCTCGTCAAGATGCTCCGTTTCCTTGGTTCCGTGGACCGTCCCAGGGTGCCCCTCGACGCCGTGCAGACTTTCTGGGGCCACTGCTGGCATTGGACGGCGCAGGATGCCATGCTTACTCTTTCTGTAGTTTGTGTTTGGCCCCCCTTCGGTTTCGGCATCTTTTTCATGCATTCCTCTGTCATTCACTTGTCATCTCACCCTCGTCTCTTCCCTCTAAGGCTCCTGGCGTGTAGTTCCAGGCTTTGCCGACTCCCCCCCATCGTCGACGTTTCCTTCGTCTGATCTCTTAGCCCTGCTTCTCTACCTTGGCCTCATGTTCGGTGTGCTGTCTGGTTCGTCTTCCTCTCGATGCCTCATTTCCTTTGTCGCCTGCGTACTCTTGCAGGACTTCCACGATATCGTCGGGGAGATGCTGCGTGCGGGGTCAGTGCACCTCGTGACCGGGTTTGTCCAGCCAGGCCCAGTCCGCGGCGTCTGGCTTGATGACCCTCTTGCGCATTGCATGGGGGGCGCGCTTGCAGAGAAGCGCTTCGGCAATTCATGATTTCTTTTTGTTTTGCATGTGCACCCCAGGCGGCGCGCCTTTTAGCGCTGCCTTGCACGCCGAGCGCTTGCGCAAGCCTTGGCCGCTGATCACAGTGGTCAGGGAGCCAGTGGTGGGAGGTGGCGGGCATGATCATTAGGGCTGGGCACCTCCCTAGAGCACGCTAGGCAACGATGCGGCAAGGGCGGCCGCTGACCGCAGCTCGTCCATAATTTGGTCGGAACCGTTTCATTGGGACCCAGCTCTTTGCTTTTCGCGTGGACTTTTGGCGGCGCGCTGTCGAATCGTCAAGTTTGCATTCGCCCCTGCCTTCCGCTACTACTCACCCGATGTAGTTCTGTGGTTTTATCATTGCCCGTTCAGCTCGTTATGCTATACCGCGAGAGCCTCGTTATGCACCTCCCTCTCTTTCTCTCTCTCTCTCTCTCTCTCTCTCTTGCTCTCTCCCTCTCCTTGTGCGTCTCTCAGTCTGACTAGCTCACTCCCTCGCTCGTCCCCCTGCTGCCCACGTGGCAACACATACTCATAGGAGTCTGGTTGGTAACAGTTTTGCGTGGAACGCACGCGCATGCATACCGACAACATACACACGCAGGGCACCTTGATGCAGACATCCACGCACGCGCGCAAATACAAATGGCCACGCGTGCACACCAATTCTGGGTCAGAGTGAGGGGGCTGGCGCGGGGTGGGTCGCGGCGCGTGGGTCGCGGTCGGGGCGGGGGTGGGTCGCAGGCGGGTCGCGGGGCGGGTCGATGGCGGGTCGCAGGTGGGTCGAGGGTGGGTCTCGCGGCCTTTTGTGGCCCTCTTGGGCCGCCCTTGGGGCGGTCCTGGGCGCTCTTGTGGCCGTCTTGGAGCCCTCCTGGGCCTCTCTTGGGGCCCTTTTAGGCGATCTTGGAGCCATTTTGAGGCCTCAAGAGCTCATCGGATGCGAAAGGGCGACAATGCAAAAAAACATCAGAAAACAAAATGAATTTCAATGATTTTGGCCTCTTGAGGGCTTCATTGGAGGGCTCGAAAGGCATTTGGAGCCGGCCTGGGGCGGTTTCGAGAGCTCTTGGATGTCTGTTGATAGCTATCTTGAACCATCTTGGGAAATATTGCTTGACCTTGGAGGCTATCTTGAGCTCTTTGAGGCCCTCTTGGAACAATCTTAGGCCATCTTGGGCGCTCCTATTCCTCGCGGGAAGGCGCCTCTAGGCCCAGGGGGAGGGGGTAGGGGGAGGGGGAACCCTTTCCCCGAAGGGGAAGAAGGGGGTTTAGCAGAACGAGCTCGCTAGACCACTCACGCCGTAAAGGGCTTGTGGGATTATCGGGAACGCACATTCCAAATGGCTCGATGGGCTCTTTGTTGCCTTGCGGTCCTGAGAGACGGGGATGGGGCGAGGGCGCATGGCCGGCCGAGTTCGGGCGCGGCCGGGTCCGAGATCAGCCGACGGCTGAACTCGGACCCGGCTGATCTCGGACCCGGAAATTCGGACCCGGCTGAACTCGGACCCAGCTGATCTCGGACCCGCTGAACTCGGACCCGGCTGGTCTCGGACCCGGGCTGATCTCGGACCCGGCTGATCTCGGACCCGGCTGATCTCGGACCCGGCTGATCTCGGACCCGGCTGATCTCGGACCCGGCTGATCTCGGACCCGGCTGATCTCGGACCCGGACGCTCTCGCTGCAGCGCGGGCCTCGGTCCGAAATCAGCTGGGTCCGAGTTCAGCTGGGTCCGAGATCAGCTGGGTCCGAGATCAGCTGGGTCCGAGTTCAGCTGGGTCCGAGTTCAGCTGGGTCCGAGTTTTTGGGTCCGGGATTCCGGGTCCGAGATCAGCTTGGGTCCGAGTTCAGCTGGGTCCGAGTTCAGCTTGGGTCCGAGTTCAGCTGGGTCCGAGTTCAGCTGGGTCCGAGTTCAGCTCGTGTCTCTTGGGGCGCCGCTTAGGGACCTGTTGGGGCGTCTTGAAGGCCTGTTGGGCCGTCTTGAGGCCATCGCAGGCGCTTGGGAGTGATATTTCGGCGTCTCCCGGCTCTCTTGGACCGTCTGGAGGGCTTCTCGGGCCTCTTGGACCGTTTGGAGCCCTCCTGGGCTCCGACAAGGGACCTTGCGGGGAGTCTGCCGGGAGTCTGCCGGGACCTTGCCGGGAGTCTGCCGGGGTACTTTTCGTCCGGGGACCCCCAGGGCCCGCCCCGCGCGCGCGAACTAGAAATATTGCTGAGCAGTTACTGAAGATCTTAGTACGCCTCTGGCCCGTTGGGCCGGCGAATTTGAGCATTGTTGGGATATGATTTGATTATTTCAAACTTTTGGACCAAGATCTCCCTGTAGGAGGACAGGCCCGACCTAAGGATAGGGGAACAAAAGGTGGTATAAACATGAAAAGCTCGGAGGTCCGCGCGGATTCCTCGGATCGGCGCTGGGGCCTCCCGGCGGCGCCTCCAGCGCCGCCCCTGGCGCGTTCCGCGCGCCATGGAGGGGGGTCCAGCGCCGATCCGAGGAATCCGCGCGGACCTCCGAGTTTTTATGTTTATGCAAGTTTTTGTCCCCCCAAGGGAGGCCCGGGCGACCTCCAGAGCACCCCTCGCGAGGACCAGAGGGCCCCAGAGGCTCCGACGTGGCCCAATCAGCTCGGGCCACGCGAGCGACGGCAGAAACGGAGTCGATTGCGCCGACATTGGCGCGTACGCTTCCCGCGTGAGGTCGCGCGTGAGCGCCCTCCTATCCATACGATGTGCCGCGCTGGCGGCCCTGCGTAAGCCGCGGCGTGCGGCCGCTAATGTCTACTCTCGTGAGGCCCGTTTCTTCTCGTCGCTCACCTGAGGCCAGCGCCAGTTCCCTGAAATCCGACTTCGGGAAAAATGCACCATCGCGACCGTTCACGACCCGAGCTCTTTCGATACAATTGTCCTACCGAGTATTCCAATTTTTCTGCCGCGTATTTCGAGCCGGATCGACCTGTGAGAGTCCGGGGGCCTGAAACTCGGCGGAAGCGCCCGGCGTGAGCACATTGCAACGCCCGGATCTCGGGGTCGCAGCGCCTGCAAGGTGAGGACGGCCGAGGACCTCTGCGGGCTGGACAAGGGCGACCTGGCCCAGCTCGGCTTCAAGATGGTGGAGCGGAGCCGCGTGCTTCGCTGGGCGCGCTCGTTCGACCCGTCCGCCCAGGCGGTGGGGGCCCACCCCGACGACGACGACGACGACGACGACGACGACGACGACGACGACGACGACGACGACGACGACGACGACGACGGCGGCGGCGGCGGCGGCGGCGGCGGCGGCGGCGGATGCGGCGGCGGCGGCGGCGGCGACGACGACGACGACGATGAGCGACGATTAGCGACGGCTGGGAGGCGCGCACGCCGATCTCGGCGAGCCGCTGGCGGGGCGAGTGTCGAAGAATGCAAAGCGGCATAAGCACGATCTTGCGGAGGTCCGCCCGGAGTTCTTGGATTTGCGCTGGACCCCGCCCTGACTTGGGACCGCCGTACTCTCTGGACGATGTTCATGACTAGGGCGGGGATTCCCGCCCTCATTGTCCAGCTCCTCTGCGGCCGAGGTCGGCCGCATTTTGCCGTCGCTGTCTCCGCCACACCCGCCTGTGCGGAAGTAATTATCCGCCCCTGTGTTTCTCAGGCGGGAATGTCCGCCCGTCTTGTTCGCTTCGTTGTGGGCGCATTGCCATCCCAGACATGCGACGTTCTGTTTTTTTCAATGCGGGGTCCCTGGAAGTCCCGACCCTTTCCCCAGGACCGGTTTTTCAGCCTGAGTCGTTTTCGACGGCCTCGAGGTCCGGCGAGACCCCTCCGAGGCCGAAAACGGCCAAAAACCTCGCGCTCTTATTTTTGACCACGCGATCCCTGTCTGGGATGACAGCTTTCACTCGGAAAATCAGCCAAAGCACGGCGGATCCGAGGTCGGGGCCCTGGCGGCGCGTCCGCCGCCGCCCCGGGCGCGCTCTCCGCGCGAAGGGGAGGGGGGTGGCAACCCCGATCAGCGAAGCCCGCGCGGACCTTTGAAGCGTTCCCAGACATTCGATGTCTTGGTTTGTGCTTCAATCCTCCTCCTCCTCCTCGTCCTCCTCCTCGTCCTCCTCCTCCTCACTCCTTCTCCTCCTCACTCCTCCTCCTCCTCCTCCTTCCTCCTTCTCCTCCTCCTCCACCTCCTCCTTCCTCCTCCTCCTTCCTCCTTCCTCCTTCCTCCTTCTCCTTCCTCTTTCCTCCTCCTCCTCATTCTTCCTTTCTCGTTCCTCCTTCCTCCTCTCCTCCTTCCTCCTCCCTCCTCCCTCCTCCCTCCTCCTCCTCCTCCTCCTCCTCCTTCTCCTCCCTCCTCCTCCTCCTGCTCCTCCTCCCTCTCCTCGCCCTTCCTTCAACATGGGGTTCCCAGAAGCCCCAACCCTTTCCCCAGGGCCAGCTTTTCGTCCCGAGTCGCTTTGTTTCTGGTCCCTTCGCCTGGCGAGGGCCCCCCAGGCGCGGAAAAGTGCGACTCACATCCGTGCTTTTTTTCAATGCGTTGGAGGTTTGGGTTTAAGTCGTGCATGCCCCTCTAGAGGAGGAATATTCAAGCATAGTCAAACTACCTGGGGACGTGCCCAACCCTTTGTACACATGAGGCGACTATACATCGGCATCGGATCGCTCAATACAAAAGCAAGCGCTGAAGGATCCGCCGTGCTCGTGAACGCTTCGCCAGAGAACGTTGGGCCAGAGTCAAACGCTTCACATTCGCGGCATCACTCTAAGAGTCAGATCGTTGGCAGGAAGGCGACCACGAGGGGGCGTGGAAAAATACTGATGTGGGGGAACTGGAGACATGCTTCGTGGGAGTAAGAGTGCATCGTGCCAGGTTCTCATTGCAGAACAGCGCCATGCGCGCTGTGACTGAACAGCGCCCTGCGCGAAGCGCTGCAGGGCGCGTCGCGAGCGGAGGCGGCGGCCGAGGGAGTCTTGAGCCAGAACAATTGTGGACTCCGCAAAGTCCTCCTCCCTCCCCGGTCGTGGTGAGGTCTCGTGGTGATCTGCGTATGACGTCCCTCCGCTGGCCCTCCCAGAAGCCCACGAAAGTGGCGACAGTTTCGCAGGTCGCAGCCCCCCATGGTGCGGCGAGGTCTCGTGGTGACCCGCGTAAGACGTCACTCCGCTGGCCTTCCCAGAAGCCCGCGAACGCGGCGACAGTTCCGCAGACCGCCGCCCCTCCAAGGTGCGGCGACGTCTTGTGGTGATCCGCGTAAGACGTCACTCCGCTCGCCCTACCAGAAGCCCGCGAACGCGGCGACAGCTTTGCAGGCCACCGCCCCCAAGAGGACGGCGAGGTCTCGTGGTGATCTGCGTGTGACGTCACTCCGCTGGCCCTCCCAGAAGCCCACGACAGTGGCGACAGTTTCGCAGATCGCAGCCCCCCAGGGGACGGCGAGGTCTCGTGGTGATCTGCGTATGACGTCCCTCCGCTGGCCCTCCCAGAAGCCCACGACAGTGGCGACAGTTCCGCAGATCACAGCTTCCCAGGGGACGGCGAGGTCTCGTGGTGATCTGCGTATGACGTCCCTCCGCTGGCCCCCCAGAAGCCCCAGAAAGCGGCGACAGTTTCGCAGATCACAGCCCCCCTCGGGACGGCGAGGTCTCGTGGTGATCTGCGTATGGCGTACCTCCGCTGGCCCTCCCAGAAGCCCCAGAAAGTGGCGTCAGTTTCGCAGATCGCAGCCCCCCGGGGTGCGGCGAGGTCTCGTGGTGACCCGCGTAAGACGTCACTCCGCTGGTCCTCCCAGAAGCCCACGAGTGCGGCGACAGTTCCGCAGATCGCAGTCCCCCAAGGGACGGCGAGGTCACGAGGCACGGAGAAGGAAGAAGGAGGAGGGGAAAAATGAGAAGGAGGAGGACGAGGAGGAGGAGGAGGAGGAGGAGGAGGAGGAGGAGGAGGAGGAGGAGGAGAAGAGGGTGGTGACCACAGTGCTCTACTCAAAAACGAGAACCCAACCAAGGGAGGGTTGGGAAATATAGTTTTTGGACGTTTGTTCGTCCCCGAACTAGTTTTGCTTAATTCTGGCTACCTGGCATTTTTCTCTTAAAATCTGCCTGTAGGAGGACATGCCCGACCTAAGTCTGGGCTTGTGCTTATGCCATCTTTCCTTCTTCCAGAGCAGGGGACCCCGCTCAGCCCCCGCGCGACCCCGCCGGCCAGCCCTGCGGCGGGCCACGCCGGCAGCGGGGAACTCGGCCGCAGCCTCGAGGCGGAGCGCGACAGGCGGGGCGCTCCAGAAAGGGCCTCGCCTCCTCCTCCTCCTCCTCCTTCTCATCCTCCTCCTCCTCCTCCTCCCTCATCTTCCTCCTCCTTGTCCTCCTCGCCTCCTCCTCCTCCTCCTCCTCCTCTCTTCCTCCTCCTTGTCCTCCTCGCTCCTCCTCCTCCTCCTCCTCCCCTCCTCCTCCTCCTTGTCCTCCTCGCTCCTCCTCCTCCTCCTCCTCCTCCTCCCTCCTCCTCCTCCTCCTCCTCCTCCTCCTCCTCCTCCTCCTTGGGCCACGGAGGACCCCAGCGCGGTGAGGGGTTAGACCGCAGCAGACCCCAGCATGGTGAGGGTTTTGGCCACGAAGGACTCCAGCACGGCGAGGAGGCGGACCGCAGAGAACCCCCGCGTGGCGAGGGGTTAGGCCACAGAGGACCCCAGCGCGGTGAGGGGTTAGACCGCAGCAGGCCCCTGCGCGGCGAGGGGTTAGGCCACGGAGTACCCCAGCGCGGTGAGGGGTTAGACCGCAATGATCCCCAGCATGGCGAGGGGTTGGGCCACGGCGGACCCCATAGTGGTGAGGGGTTAGACCGCAGCAAGCCCCTGCGCGGCGAGGGGTTAGGCCACAGAGGACCCCAGCGCGGTGAGGGGTTAGACCGCAACAGGCCCCTGCGTGGCGATGGGGTTAGGCCACGGAACACCCCAGCGCGGTGAGGGGTTAGACCGCAGCAGCCCCCAGCGTGGCGAGGGGTTGGGCCACGATTTTCCCCAGCGCGGTGAGGGGCTAGACCGCACCGACCCCCAGTGTGGCGAGGGGTCAGGCCACGACGGACCCCAGCGCGGTGAGGGGTTAGACCGCAGCAGACCCCCGCGTGGCGAGGGGTTAGGCCACCACGGAGCACCCCAGCGTGGTGAGGGGCCGGACCGCAGCAGGCCCCAACGCGGCGAGGGGTTAGGCCACGGAGGACCCCTGCGCGGCGAGGGGCTAGGCCGCAATGCACCCCAGCGTGGCGAGGGGTTAGGCCACAGCCCTGCGCCAGGCAAGGCGGCCGTGAAGGCCCACGAGTCCATGGACCAGCGGCCAGTGCGGTCCCTGGAAGAGCGCAGAGCGGAGGAGCGGCTGCGGCCGTCCATCAGGCTGCTCCTCAAGCTCTGAGAGGGCGGCGGCAGCATTTCTTCAGACTGCCGCCGCTCGCGGGGCGACTCCATGAGTCTTCGAGTGGCGGCAGCAGGACGCCGTGAGATGAGGCCGCTGGCCCACCCCGCCTCGGGCGCGTTCTGCCTGCGCGGGGTGCCGAGACCAGGGGCACCCACTCACGGGCGGGAGCACGCGGGTTTAAAACTCCTCCTCCTCCTTGGTCCTACGAGTGTCCGGGGCACCTCCGTGGCGACGCACTCGGCCACGGGAACTGCACGGGGCCCAAAAGTGTACACCACCACCACCACCACCACCACGGCCTCCCTAACCGCCTCCATCTCCCAAGGAAGAGGCGAGGAAGAGGAGGGTAGAGGGGGGAGGAGGAATCGACGTGGTGGTGCTGTATATTCTTGGAGCCCGCAAACTGTAGGGCCCAGCCCAGACCCACGACATCGTGATTTTCTCACAGCGTCGACCCCCCGAGGTCTGGACCACCTTCCCCATGACCAGTTTTTCTCATCCCGAGTCATTGTTTGACGGTCCCGAGGCCCGGTAAGGGCCCCCAGAGGCCGAAAGTGGCGAAGAACCTCCGCGTCGGTTTTTGTTTCGCAGCGCGAGGCGGTCTGGGAGGGATGTCTGGCGGCCGACCCACTCGGGTGATCCGTTGTGCGGGGGCGCGCTTCTCTGTGCGCTCCGAGTGAGGGAGAGAAGACGCAGGGGCCACGCCTCCGAGGGACGGCGGCAGCCGGCCGAAGGGCGGCAGAAGCGAAGTGGCCCAGGGGCACACAGATCGATAGGCACAAATCCCAGGAGTCCCCTGACTTTTTCACCATCTTCGGGAGGTTCGTCTTTCCCCCCGCTGGCCACTTGTTTTCCCATACGTCTCCCTCCGGGGAATCGGCGATGAATTGTTTGCGTCTGTGTGTGATGTGTTCCTCTCCTGAAGAAGGCGGCGGGAGCAAAACGAGAGTGGGCCCGCCAGCGGACGCGGGTGGAAGGCCGGCGGGGGGAAATCGTGCCCCCCCCCCCCCCCAGAGAGCCCTGAGATCCTGGCGTTGCATGTGTTTCGCTGCGGGCGTTTTCGCTCCATGCCGGGCCCCGTGACCCTCACAGATCGATCCAGCTCCAAAAAGGGCGCAGAATGATGGGGTCAGGGGCTCAGGCCGTGACATTTTGCGATGTTGCGGTGTTTCTGCAACGTCGGGATCTCAGGGATGTCAGCCACGCGCGGAAGGGGGGCATGGGGGAGGAGGAAAAGGTACCCATGCCACTACCCTTATCGAGTTTCCCCCTTTTGGGGGCCTCCTGGTAGGCCCTCGTCGCCACCTTTGGATTCGCCTCGAAATCCTGGTCAGAACGCACCCTGGGAGGAGGGCTTCTTCGAAGCACCCCTGCTTCTTAGAGGGCACGGGCCTCATCAATAGATGCAGGGACGGCGCCTTCTAAGAAGCAGCCTCCTGAGAAGCCTCCCCCCCTCCCCCTACATCCCCTTGTGCCCCCCCTCCCAGAGATGGCGACTTTTTTGAATCTAGGGCATCCCTGAAGGAGCAAGGAGTCCTGATATGAATGGTACGATCGAAGATTTTCAGGATTGCTGGGGTTTCCAATACCTCCTCTTGCTCCGCACGGGCTCCAGAAGCGAAGAGCTCGCCAGTCGGCGGCGAGCGAGGGGGGGAAGTGAGAAGGAGAAGGCCTTCTCAGAAGGCGGCGTGACTTCTGAGAAGCCCTCGCGCCTTTTGAGAAGTACGTTGTGTCTTCGGGGACGGCGCATAGAACGTCTCAAAAGGTCAGAGGACTTCCGAGCCCTCTGATTCTGATACGACCCGCCCCCTCTCACTCGCCCCCGGGGCTCGCCGCCGAGCCAGATATTCCGACGCGCCATGGGCCAATCGCACTGTGACGCCAGTCTTAAGTCGGGCCTGTCCCTCTACAGGGGAATATTCAAAAATAGTCAAAAAATAGTCAAGGGACTATTTTTTGAGTATTTTGGGGCATCTTTTTGAATTTTTTGGGGGTTTTGGGTTTTTCGTCCAAAATCCCCCTGGAGGGGGACAGGCCCGACCTGACGCCAGTCTCGCTCTGCGCGTCCCGGGCTCGCTTCCTGCTGGTCCGATGCTGGGCCTCCCGGGCGCCGAGGTCGAGGGAGCACGGCCGGAACTGACTGCGCCGGGTCGTCGGAGGTCCGAGCATGTTTCGGGTACAGGGCGGCTGTCCAGCGGCCGTCTGGGACGACGTTTTGGCACGCCTGGTACGCCGAGGCGGGAATCTATGCATGACCACCGCCTGGAGGTTCAGTTTTCGGAGCCTCGGCAGGCGGTGGGTATGGACATATTCGGGCCCCCGGGGGTCGAAAAATATCCATATCCACCGGCCGCTGGGGCACTTGGGCGTCGGTTCCCAGGCGGTGGATATGGATAAATCCCTGCCTCGCATGGAACGCCCCCCGTCTGATTTTCCCAGATGCGTCGGCACATCACTCCTCGTCCTCAGCATTCATCGTCACAGCTCCTGCTCTTGCTCTTCCGCATGCTGCTCCGTATCCCATTCCTCCTCCTCCTCGTCCTCCTCCTCGGTGCCCCTCTCAGTACTTATCCCCCCCAATGATCGCGCCGTTCTTCATCCACAGCAACATTGCACTCCTCCCCCTCCTTCTCATCATGACCATCGCCATCCTCTTCGTCATTCTCACTCTTCCTCCTCCTCCTCCTCCTCCTCCTCCTCCTCCGCTGGCTCCTCCTCTGACTCCTCCTCTGACTCGCTCGCCCTCCTCGCTCCTCCTCCGCCTCGGCACCCCTCCTCGGGATGAGGAGGGGAGGAGGGCTGCGTGAGGGGTCGTGTGGGCACGGGAGCGAGGGATTTCAGGGTGGATGGGGCGAGGGGCGCAGGGGTTGGAGAACGGGAGGGGGCAGAGGGTGAGAAGAGAAGAGCAAAAGGACGTGGGAGAGCAGGGAGGAGCGAAGGGGGGAGGAGGGAGGCGGGGAAGGGACGAGAAAAGGAAGGATGAGCGAACGGGAGTGAAGGAATCGGGGAGTGAGGGGAGTGAGGGAGGAGGGAGGATGGAGTGAGGCAAGGGAGAGGGGGGGCGAGAGATGAGCAAGGATGGGGGGACAGATGGTGGGAGGGAGCGAGGAGGGAGAGAGTGTGAGTGAAGAGGGTGCAGGAGAAGGAGGGAGTCACGGAGGGAGGCAGAGGGAATGAGGAAGGATGGAGGAAGGGAGTTCGGGAGTGAGTGGCAGGTGGGGTGAGGAAGCAAAAGGGAGGAGGGAGGATACGACGCGGGAGGGGACAAGGGCGGGACGAGGGAGAAAGGATGGAGGCAAGCGGGACAGGGTGAGGAGGAGGAGGAGGAGGACGAGGAGGAGTAGGAGCGGCATCCAGGAGGAGCGCGGATAAGGCGGATGATTGATGACGCATGGCGATCGAATGAAAGGATGACATGGGGGATAAGGGGAGTGAGGACATTGAGGAGCGGTACACAGTTGGATAACTAATGATGGAGGGGAATGGGAGGAGCGACGATGGCTGACTATACAGGGTAGTGTGTTATATACATGATCAGAAGATTACGTAGCGAGGGCAAACGAGCCTCGCTTAGTGAGGCAGAGCGGATAAGGAAACGAACAGCCAGGAAGACGATGAGCTGCGAGGAGGGCCATTGATGGGCACCGTACAAAGTGTCCTTGTATACCAACTGAGCATTCACGTTCAGTGCGTTCATAGCCGGCGTAACTAAACCTATAAGAACGTAGTTCTACGTATCCAACAATCACTCCGTACCTAGAAATCATAATGAATTGCAGCGCCAGTCTTCAAGCATATCCAGAAAGGCATCCATTCGCATCCAAACATGCCCAAATCAAATGACATCTAGCCATATCTAAACGCATCTAGTTTTCCATATCGAAAACATGATTCAGCACACAACAACAGCACATGTGTTTGATAGTGCTCGGGGCATCTTGAAGTGCAGCAGGTCCAGGGGGACGCACATCGATTATATATTCGCAGGTCTGTCTTGCAGGGCGACGTCAGAAAACCCCGCCCCGTCGAGGGGATCGGGGTCCCTGCGCCCCCCCCCCACACCCTGTCGGTGCGCCCCTGCAGACCCAGACCCCCGACGTCGGGATTTTTGTTTGGCAACGTCGACCCCCACCTCCTCCTCCTCCTCCTCCTCCTCCCCCTCCTCCTCCTCCTCCTCCTCCTCCTCCTCCTCTTCTTCCTCCTCCTCCTCCTCCTCTGACACCCGCCGACCCCTTCCCCGGGACTGGTTTTTCATCCTGAATCTTTTTTTGACGGTCCCGAGGCCTGGTAGGGGCCCCCCGGGGGCCGAAAGTAGCGCGAAAGTTTCCGAGGGGGTCTGGGGACCGCCTCCAGACGGCGCCTGCGGTTCTTGAGTCAGCCAGGCCGACGCCTCGCCTCGAGGAGGCCGACGACGTCGAGAGCCAGGCCGAGTTCTGGTGCGGCCTGGCGGTGGAGCTCGGCTGGAGGCTGGACGACGAGAGCGCCTCGGGGGCCGACCTGGACGTTCTCGAGGTCCTGCTCGGCTTGAAACTATGTGCCATGGGACCCAGACCCCCTACGCCGCGTTGTGAAAAAAACGCGACGAGAGGTTGTTCTCTATTCTCTGCCTCTGGGGGCCCTGACCAGGCCGCGGGACCGTCCAAAAACGATTCAGGATGAGAAGCCTGTCCCGGCGAAGGGGTCGAGAGCTTTGATGGTCGACGTCATGAAAAAGACACGACGTCGGGGGTCTGGGACCGATGTGCTATGGCACGCAGCAGGACATACTAGTACTGGGTGTCCTCCTCGTAGGCGCGCATCCGATCAGATCATATAGCACAACAGTAACACGGTATGTCGTTACCCTAGCGGCATGGCCAGAAAGCGCCCGCCATCGATCATTAGTCATGTAGTATAAGATTTCAGAACGCGCGCGTGGCCCCTGTGGCAGTGACGCACATATCGTGTAAAATGTTTGGCGGACCCCGGCATGCCAGCGCGCTGGCCCCAGACATCAGGGGAGGAAAAGGAGCTGTTATCGCTGCTCTTTCCTCGGTTTCGCCTTCATGGCTCCTCGTCGCCACGGCTGGACTCGCCTTTCATTCTAGTCAGAACGCACCCCGGGAGATGTCCAGGGAGCAGCGGTATCGGTATCTTCTGGCTCCCCCACCGGAAAGTGACCCTGTGCAAGTTCTGCGCTGAAGCCTTGGGGCACAGTGAGTGCGCTCTGTGGGATGCAGTCTCTTCTGTGCAATACATTCGGGCATTTTCCCCCAGCGTATCGCACCGCTCAAGCAATGGATCCATCCAGTGAGCGGCAGGCCGTGTCCAACTCTGGTTCCCACCTCTCCGACCGTGGCTCTGGCACCCACTCCCATCTCTCCGACTCCAGCTGCCATGTCCCGACCCCGGATCCCCCTGCCCAGCTCCAGCATCTGAGCGGCCAGCTTAAACCGGCGCCCCAGCGCCCCCCGCCGCACCCTCGCAGGTGCCTCAACGTGGACTCTTGTCTCTTGTCTCTTGTCTCTCTTGTATTGCACCGCTGGTCCTGGCTCACCACGCTTCGGCGCGAGACGCTGACCACTTCCCAGTCCCCCAGCGTCAACGTCCCCAGCGTCCCCCCCCCCCCACACGCGACGAACGGAACGAGGCGCCATCCACTCGCAGGGCGCAGCGTTTCGCCGGAGCCGCCGCCGCGACAGGGCGAGCACACGTTTTTGGTCGTGTGGGGTGCAGTCCATGTGTGCAGGGGTGCGTGCCACCCAGGACCAGTTCGGCCACGCGCAGAGGGGGTGTATGGGGGAGGGGAGAAGGCTTCGAAGAAGCCTTCCCCCCTCCCCCTTCCCCTCCTCTGCGCGCCGTCAACCAGTGCGGGGTAAGCCGTGGGAGCCAGTGGGAGCCCGTCGGGGTCGGAGCCGCCGCCAGAGAGTGCGGCACGCAGGGCCAGCGGGGGGGGGGCACTAGAGCCCATACGGACTACAGGATTTGACAGGCCACTGCAAAATTGGAAGACGCCCGTGGGAGCCCACAGAAACTCACGCGGCCATCGGACGGTGCCGCGCACATCCATAGGAACCTTAGAAACCCACGCGGCCATCGGACGAAAAAGCGTACGAGCCCACAGGACCCCCAAGCGGCCGCCAGACAGTGTCATAGACACCTGCTGGAACCCATGGGGATTCGAGCGGCCACCGTCAAGTGCGGCAGACACTCGTAGGAACCCAAGCGGCCATCGCACGGTGCGACGCGCATCCACAGGAGCCCAGAGAAACCCAAGGGGCCAGCGGACGGTGCGACGCACACATGTGCAGGAACCCGCTGGAACCCAAGCGGCCACCAGACTGCGACACCCACGTGCAGGAGCCGCAGGACTCCAAGCGGTCGGAGGACAGTGAGACAGACACCTGTCCAAATCATTTAGTCCATAAGAATCCACGCGACCACCGGACGGTGCGACAGACACCTGTAGTCTTATGATGTTCCAACCTACTTGATCCTGGATCGCCAGAACGAATTTCGAGCACCAGAAAAATAAACGAAGCTCTAGGGTTTTCACGTGTCGGGCCCTGGGAGACACTCGTTCGACACTGTTTCGACGCTTGTTCGATACTTTTCTGGATGCTCGAAATTATTTCTGGGATGTGGTCCGTAAGTACGATAGGAACAACATAATTGTAGTCACCAATTGGAAGCCAAGCAGCCACAGGTTGATGCCACACGCGCCTACAGGAACCCATGAAAATGAACCCGCCGCGACCCGAATTCGGGGAAAGCCTATTGCATGGGCGCATCGCCAGGCGCATTGCTTGGCATTGTTTGGCATTTGCGGGGGCGGTGAACCCGAGGAACTGGGGGAGCCCGAGGAACCTCCAAGGAACAGGAGGCACCGGGGGCTGGGAACCCGAGGAACCCGAGGAACCTCGGGGAAACAGGCAACGGGGAACCCGAGGATCCCGAGGAACGTCATGGGCAACGGGCAGCGTACGAATTCGAGGCACCAATGTTTAACAAAGCATGTACCCCTTAGGCAAGCCTAACTGGGGAACCAAGCCACATCCAGAATGTGCGAAAGACAGGTCCAGCTGGTACCTAATCTGTTTGTCTGGAAAGGTTATACAGAAGTCTTCTAAGAAGCTAGTAGTCGGAGGTTGATAGACCTCCTACCTTGACACGTCGATGAGCGAATCGGCCGTTTTCGGTTCGCGAGAGGGCGTCGCGGCCGTCTTTTTTGCAGGTCCAGGTCCGTCGGTTTCGGTCCTAGGCCGTCTTCACTAAAGGACGGTTTACGAAAGGGAGGTTCTGTTTGTGGAAGTTGCTTAATGGAGAGGAAGCATGCTGCACATGTTTAAGTATGTAAAAGAACATATTTGATCCATGCTTAGAACATGTTTTACTCATTTAAAACACATCTTTAATTCAATGATAGGACTGTTAGGATGCCCATTGTCGTGGCATCCACAACAGTATGTGTAGTGGTACTGCAGCTCGGTGGATTGATCTTTGGCTGGTGAGATTGTTGACGGACTGTAGGAGGTCTCGTGGGTGGGGCGTGGTTCGTCCTAGCTGCCCTTTCAGGTAACAGCGCGCCATTATTGTCGGCATAGCGTGCTGGAGCGAGGTTCCTGCCTGTCAAAACTCGATGCTGGAACCCACGCATTGGGGTGCTGAAACCACCCTCGTGAAAATTGGGTGCTGGAGCCCACGCCGTTGGCTGCTGGAACGCGGGAACCACTCTCCCTCGTAAAAGTTGGATGCTGGGACCCACCCTTCTTGACGGCATAATCTACTGGAGCGACTTCCCTCCTGAAGAACTGGGGGCTGGGACCACGCCCCCCTTAGGGCTTTACGATTTAAGGGAGGTAGGAGGAGGGGATGCGGGGCCCAGGGGTGGGTGTCCTAGCAATGTAGTCACGCCGCCTCCCTTTACAAGCGGGGGCAGTGCGTGCGCGTGCGCGCGCGTGCGTGCGCGCTCGCGCAAGCTCGGACGCGGGCCTGAGCGCAAGCCCGACCCGAACCCCGAGCCCGAGCGCGAGTTGGGGACTGAGCCTGAGCCCGAGCCTGAGTGCCCGCGTGCGAGTGCGTGCGCGCTTTCAGTATGTTAGCATGCGGTTAAACATACCACCTGCAGCATTTACCTGGCAGCGCTATTATCAGCAACATGCGCATTAGCCTCAGCATTCGTATTCGTAAAAGTTTGTGCGCGAGTAGTGGTATCCATACCACCGTACCAATACAAGCATTAGTCAAAACTTCAACATTCGCAATCGCAGTTGTAGGAGGATTATTGTGGTAGTAGTCGTGGTAGACTAGTTGTTAGTTTGAGGATTACTAGTAGTAGTAGTGGTCGTAATAGTAATAGTGAGGTAGTAGTAATGTTGCAGTAGTAGCGTGGCAGTAGTAGTGGTCGTACTAGTAATAGTAGTAATATTAGTGATAGTAGTAGTGGTAGTAGTCGGAGTAATAGTAGTAGCAGAATCAATAGTAGTGGCAGTAGTCGTAGTAGTCGTAGTAGTAGTAGTAGTAGTAGTAGTAGTAGTAGTAGTAGTAGTAGTAGTAGTAGTAGTAGTAGTAGTAGTGTAGTAGTAGTGTAGTAGTAGTAGTAGTAGTAGTAGTAGTAGTAGTAGTAGTAGTAGTAGTAGTAGTAGTAGTAGTAGTAGTAGTAGTAGTAGTAGTAGTAGTAGTAGTAGTAGTAGTAGTTGTTGTTGTAGTTGTAGTAGTGGGAGTAGTAGTTGTAGGAGTAGTAGTAGTAGTAGTGGTAGTAGCAGTAGTAGCAGCAGCAGCAGTAGTAGTAGTCGTAGTAGTAGTAGTAGCAGTAGTAGTAGTAGTAGTTCTACGTGTATTAGTGGTAGTAGTACTGAGATTTCAGAAGTTGTCGCAGTCGTAGTTCGTAGTAGCCGTAGTAGTCGTAGTCGTCGCATTTGCAGTAGTAGTACTAGTAGTAGTAGTAGTAGTAGTAGTAGTAGTAGTAGTCGTCGTCGTCGCAATAGTCGTAGTCGTAGTAGTAGTAGCCGTAGTAGTAGTAGCCGTAGTAGTACAAGGAGTAGTAGCAGTAGTAGTAGTCGTATTGGTAGCAGTAGTGGTAGCAGTAGTAGTAGTAGTAGTAGTAGTAGTAGTAGTAGTAGTAGTAGTGGTAGCAGTCGTCGTAGTAGTAGTGGTAGTAGTAATAGTAGTAGTAGTAGTAGTAGTAGTAGTAGTAGTAGTAGTAGTAGTAGTGGCAGTAGTAGAAGTAGTAGTAGAAGGTGGTAGTAGTAGTAGTAGTAGTAGTAGTCGTCGTCGTCGTAGTCGTAGTAGTAGTAGTAGTAGTAGTAGTAGTAGTAGTAGGAGTAGTTGTAGTAGTAGAAGTAGTAGTAGTAGTAGTAGTAGTAGTAGTAGTCGTGGTGGTGGTGGTGGTGGTGGTGGTGGTGGTGGTAGTGGTAGTGGTAGTGGTAGTATCATTAGTAGTAGTAGTAGTAGTAGCAGTAGTAGTAGTAGTAGCAGTAGTAGTAGTAGTCGTAATGATAGTAGTAGTAGTAGTAGTAGTAGTAGTAGTAGTA